CAATTTAAACATAAATGTATCTAACTATTTGGACTTAGGGGGGTATGCTATATTAGCCCATGCTGCAGTGACACTTCGCACAAACAGAGCAAATCCCCCAACGCTGGATGTGTGAGACAACTGTGCTTACTTATCTGAGTCACCCAATTATTATTATTATTTTATTTTGTTGTTGTTGCCGGTATGGTATTTTTTTATTATAAAAAAAAAAATACGCCATTTAATGTTCTACTGCTATTACTGCCTGCATCAATTTTGATTTTCTTTTTCGGAACTACACTGCGTAGCATTCCTGTATTTACGGTAAAGTTCAAAACGCTAACGCCCGCAAAGTAGCTGCTTACAGGGCTCCGTTTCAGTAAACACTGACGTCACGAAGTCCATACCCTCCGACGCTGTACTGCTCACGTTACATTCCTGCTACTGACTGCAGCACAGAAACCAAACTGCGTAACAATGGTAGGTTATTGTTTTTAAGACAGGTAATATATATCAGATATTGATACCTCGTAAATTATTGGTATACTTTCACAAAATATATGCGTTTTCTGAGTAGAATTACTGGAGAGTTACGATTGGCCTTTCAACGATTGTCGTGAGTCGGCTAAGCAGTCACTTCCTAAGCAGGATATTAGCTTCCACACGCCCAGTGACTTCTGGATCAGTATATGGGTTTAATGCATGAACACATTACAACTTTAGACTGTTACATTTCGTAAAGTTTTCGCTTTTTAGTCTGTCAAATGTGCAAGCGAGTATTGTATTTTAATTACTAACACTTCGACCTTGGATCGAGGCAAATATGTGTAAATGTTATTGGGTTTGTAAACAGACACGGAATCGATTGTTTCTTTTAGCAGTTTGCTAGTTATTTGACTTATCTAAAGATCGGCTGTATTTATTGATTTCATCAGTAGGATTTCGCAAAACACTCGATTACGGATCTTATAGCACTTATGTTTGTGTTTTATGTAACTATATATTTATCAATTATTTTTTTCTCTTTTCTACAGTCTGACTTTTCTGAGGACCAAATTCTTGGTGAGTCTACTAAAACAGTACAATACTGTAGTCGACCAAGATGTTTTGTAGTGTGTCTTTTCTGTAAAGATTTGCTTATGTCATTACAAGATGTCCTCACTATCATTTCATCTGATTCTTTTGCTGTCCTCCATTTCAAGCTTATTGATTGCTGTGTCACACAGATTTTTCTTTATGGGATCTCTGAAAACATTACTTTGCTTTTAGGTGTTTATATTCTGTTGTACAATTGCTTGTTTTTTTGCAGATTGAATTTAAATCGGATCAAATACACGGTGAGGGTTTTCTGTACCAGTCGTGTTTTGAATAACACCGAAGCATTTAATGCAGTGGCTTATTATATTCCGATCCGCAGTTTGCCTTGAACCGTGTGTGTGTATGTGTGTGTGTGACACAAGAGACTGCTGCAAAGGTTACTTTGGCTGCCGTTAATATGATTGCATTCGTAATTTTTGTGGCCTATTGAGGTGGCCAGACAGCTTGCATGACTATTAAAAATTGAAGGCTGATTGTGATAATGCACGGAAACATGCACTCTCCCTTTTGTTATTCGGATTAATTCCAAAATAGGTTAATCAGGATTAGAATTGTCTTCTACATTATACGGGATACACTCTCGGGTGTACGAGCGGAAGTGTTGATGAAATCCGGTTATATTGACTTGGTTCATTTCCGCGGCCTGTTGGTACTGCGGTTGTTTAAGAATTAACATTCTGGTCTCGAATTATTTGAAAGTGGACCGTATGTAGGATAACTACGGTCTGTTCTTTTAAGGGTAATGCTTCCTTTTTTGGCGTTAGCTCGGCGTTGATGAATTTCCTTTTACGTTCGTTTGTTGGAGCGGGGACGGTTGACAGATCAGGGGCGCTCCCTCTTAATGCCTTATATGGGCAAAGGAGCTGGAAGCAGAAAGGCGACCGACATGCACTGCATTCCAGCGAGTAGGACGGGCGCCAAACAGCAGTGCACATCCATCGCTTTTCCCTCATTTCCACCGCAAGCAAATGTAAATAGATCACAGCCACAGCTGGATTTTTTTTGAGCTGTTTTCCTTTATATTGAGGGGAAAAAATAAAACATAGGTCAGACATTGAAACATATTAATAAAAAGGCATATTTGGTTTATGCTGGGCATCTGTGTTCTACTCTGCAATGTTGTTGAAGTGATCATTGGATTTTTTTTTAATTGATATTGATGACAGAAACCTGGCTGTGATGTTGCTAATCCTAGTTGAACGAACATATCTGTAAGTTAAAAGCTGGAAAAGCAGGCACACAGTAAGTCACTAAAATCAAGAAACTGCTAGGGTGTATCTGCCTTTGGCTGCATTTCAGCCATCATGAGTCACAATACCTGATGACGCGAAGCTTGTCGTTGTGTAGCACAATTAAACATTTATGTGGGAATGATAATGTAACACTGCAAAGTATGCTCGTTCTAGGTGGTGGCAAGGCATTAATTGGCTGGGAATGTGGACAACTGAAATAAAACAATTAGCCCATGCGTAAAGCTTTGTTTCTAATATGAGTAGGAAGGTATTCTGAAAGATGCACATATGCGTGCAAACTGCTCTGAGTACACACTTAAGTGTGATCCCATGCCAAGAACCACTCGGCATAATGATCCTGTTCCTGTCTTCTCAATAGCTTATTCATTTTACTCTTTACTACACCAGCTGCAGTGAAAGCTATTTATTTGCATAGTAAGTGGTCAGAAATAATAGTTTAATGACAGCATATCTGCAAATAAACAGTAAAACAACAAGGATTTTTGTCTGTTCTCTAAAATGTTACTGATATCTTGTTGCATAGCTGGAAGAACACTTCTTCTGTCCCCAAACCCATTCTTGGGTGCACCCCAGCCTGTTCATTTATATTTATTAAATTTCACCACCAATTCACTTAACTTGATTAGTCACATGAATCGATACAGTATTGATTAACCATGCTTTGTATGCATGGTCATGTCAACAAATACATGGTTATATTGGATGGCTACTGCAAATGCTGGAGTGATTTTAGGGGAAGTTTTGAAATGGCTGAGCTATATGTTTTTATTTGCGTTGTTTTGTACTTTTGAGGCATGCTATGTTTGCTTCCATTCCCCCAGTGATGAGAAGTGCTGCTTGCTCTGATTTTCAAACATCACAACCTTGTCATTATGTTGCTTGTCACCTGCCACCATTTTGCTTCACTTTGTTCCACTTTGCAGGGTGTTGTGTCAATTATTGTTTATCCAATGCATATGCTCATCAGTTGCCTGTATTTTGCCTATGTTTTTCCTTCAGAGTTCAAGGAGGCGTTCTTATTGTTTGACCGGACAGGCGATGGCAAGATTAGCTACAGCCAGTGTGGGGATGTGATGCGTGCGTTAGGCCAGAACCCAGTCAATGCCGAGGTGCTTAAGGTTCTGGGCAACCCCAAAGCTGAGGGTAAGTGTGATTTCTGGTACAATACTGTCATTTCACATGTGAAGCAAGTTGGTAGGGTTTGTTTGGGGGAAAATTTTATGCGTTAAACTACTTTTCCCATCTTCAGAAATGAATCACAAAATGCTGGACTTTGAGCAGTTCCTGCCCATGCTACAAGCCATTGCTAAAAACAAGGACCAGGGCTCGTTTGAGGATATCGTGGAGGGCTTGCGTGTCTTCGACAAGGAGGGCAATGGCACCGTCATGGGGGCGGAGCTCCGGCACGTCCTGACCACACTGGGTAGACATTTTCATACTCACAGCTGCATGTTTTACTATTTAAAATGGCAAGAAACACCATAATAACTGTTCATTTATGTAGCATGTTAGCTAATATTCATGTAGATTATGCTAACTGTTTACTGTACTATATATATTTTAGGGGAGAAGATGACAGAGGAGGAGGTAGAAACTCTTTTGGCAGGACATGAAGATGCCAATGGCTGCATCAATTACGAAGGTGAAAAATGGGATTGAATGGGAAATTAATGGTTCAGGCATTATGGAAGTACACTGGATTTTGTACCACATTCTTTGTAGAGAACTTATGAAAAGAAATGTAATGAAAGACACATTGCAGCGTGAGATTCCTCAGAAAGGTGTGGAGACTCACTTTTTCACAACTGATTTGAAAGCTTGTATTCACAGGTGAAAATCAGCGAAGAGCGTCATTGTAATGATCAGTGGGTATGTGAGGGGATTTTATGAGGCCTTTCTGTTTTAATGAGCAGAAAGGCCTCATAAAATCCCCTGTAATACAGATGCCTGCTGTGATTATGTGAGTGCTGCTCTAGGCCTCTATGTACATATTCCTGTCCAGAGCGTGGTATAGCAGGAAAGGTCAGCATCCCAAGCACTGCGCGTGTGTGTGTGTGTGTGTGTGTGTGTGTGTTTGAGGGTGTGGCACTATGTATAACCTGTCATTCCTCTTCTGCAGCCTTCGTTCGTCACATCATGTCGGGCTGAGCGTTGGTATGGGCGTCCTTCCTGGTCCTACCATTGGCATGTATATCAAAAAGGGGTCCCGCCCAGTTCTCCCCATGCATCGCTGCTTCTAGTGATACAGTCACCCCCAAGACAGACTCTTTCATACTTTAATTATGGTGTTTACACAGTGAGCACAGGGATTTTGTGAGATTTAGTGTTGATAGTGTCTTGACTTAAACACTGGACATGTGAACCACCTAGTGTGCCTCATGTTCTGTAGATTTTGGCCACAATCGGGCTTACTTGGAATCTGCCGTTATAGCCAGGGATACACATTACTGACACGCCACTATACGTTAACTTTATAAAGCGCAATAATATCTTGTAACATCACAGTTGGGTATTTACTTTATGTGCATTTGCTCTGCTTTGCCAAGAAATCACTTTGCATTTTAACCTTTATACTGCAAATGAAGTGCGTATTTGCTGAGTGAAGGTTAAAATGCATGGTAATTTCTTGCAGCGCAAACTCATAAAATAAGTCCGCATCCCTGTGTATGTGCTGGTGGAGGACTGTGCGGGACCCTTTTAGTTGAGGGTTTTTTTCTTCATTTTTTACTCTCCTGTTTCTCTCCAGCAGCCCTTCCTCCTCGCCCCCTTGGCTGCATCATGCCCTCTGCATGTGTCTGGGCTCCTCCTCCCAAGGGACTCTCTAGCCTTCTGATTTGTTTGTTTGTTTGTTTTGGTTTTTGAGAGGGGTGTGTGGGTGGGTGTTGGGTTTTTGGTAGGTTCGGAAGGATGACTGTTTGGCTGAGAGCTGGGGAGGGTCGTGCTAGCTGGACTTTGGGGATATACTGCCAAAACAGAGCGCTTAATAAATGGATTCTTTCTCCAGCACCCGCCTCAGGGGTATCTATATTTTTCTAGCACAAAGATACATTCATTGTCAGCTTTCAGTATCTCAGATTTGTGTGTTCTAGGCCAATGATGTGTTTTCCTAAAAGGTCATATAATATGGTCTCTCCCCCACTCTCATAAAACAGACCAGTCAGTTCTTCTACTAACCCTTTTGAATTACAGTGTGCAGTGAGTTCCTTTTTTACTGGTGTTATTTTTCTTGGGGAGGCTGATAGCTGCTGGGCTTTTTCTTGTAGTTCTCAAGGCCCTTCTCTGTCCTCCCGACTCTTGCAGGTTAAAGAAAATGGGGGGGGGGTTTGCTAACGCTAATAGAGCCTTGGTCAATGCCTTGTGTTGCAGCTGAGTAGATTATAGAGCTGATCCCTCTATATGCCGTCTCTACTGCTATCTCTTGCACAATCCCAGTTTCTTCATACTGACAGCCATGAGGGGGGGGAATCAGCCCCCAGCTACAGCATCCTGTGCAAGGCTGGCTCACCCCCAAAATAAGGCTTTTAGAAGGTCACGTGGAAAGCCCACTATTTTCCACCAAGAACAGGTATCATTTCTGGGAAGCATTTAACTCCACTGCCCCATGTACCCATCAGGTACCTGACGTGCTTAAGCTTTGTGCAGTTGGTTGGAAGTCTGAGCAAAAACAAGCCATCAGTGAAAATGCATGTAAACAGGACGATCTATTAATTCCCTTTGAAGATATGAATTGGAACTTTGTGTTAAGGCATCTTTGTGCTTTGTATTGTCTGAATGTGACATTTTTACAGAATAGGATTTTTTTGTTTCTTGTTGGAATTTTACATCTTTATTTTCTGTGCCTTGCTAGGCATTTTGCCACAAAAAATATGATGAAAGGCTGCTTGATAAATAATTTGGAGGGACACATTTCAAAATGTTGTATCATCATAAAGAGATTGAAGAGCAACTATCGCTTTAATTTTTAACTTTTTAAAAATTTTTACAATTTATTTAACTTTTGAAATAAATTGTAGTATACCGTCATTCTTGGTGGAATAATTCCTTAATTCTGCAATAGAGAATGTTTAACATAGTAATTTCTATTTGAGAAACTTTTACTAGTGTTTTTTATTCCATTATAAAAATCAGTTTTGTTTGCAGTAGATGTTTCAGCAGTTAACTATTTTTAAGTATTTTATACAGAATAAAACTGGCACATTTAACTTCTTCCCGGTGGTGATACTGCCAGTTTTGCTTAGTATAATCATTGTAATGGTAATGCTGCCTAGTCAAAATGACATTTACAAAATCTATTCTTAACAGGTAATTTTAAAATGATGTTAAATAATGATTTTTTTAAAGGCATCAATTGATTTAGTATTTAAAATTTGAGATGAATTAGTATGTTGGATGCTGCAGTTGGGGTTTCTGCTCATTGACGATAATGACTTGAGCTAAAAGTTCTCTTTTTCTCTTTCTTTATCTATCCTGCAGATCTCCTCCGGATGGTCATGAGTGGTTGAAGACCTCACCAGAATTTTTGTTTATTTTATTATTTACATTTTCATTCCCATTGTGAACTTGCAACATTCCTCTAAAGTTACATCCTTTCTTGTTCCTGTTTACTTTTATTTTCAGAAGTGCCTTTATCTGCCCGAGTAGAATCTGCCTGACATTCTCCGCCCGTCCTTTGTAATATCACACCACAGACATGTGCAAACAGGAAGCTGAAGTGCAGCCAGAAGCTGCAGTTCATCGGGTGATTTGTTGCATAGGATGCCATAGGGCAGCAAGCACTTAAACCCATCACCTCGCACTAAGCAGCTGTTACAGCAGACAGCCCTGCAACTCATTGGCTAAGACTCATCTCTTCTTTCTGGTCGGTTGACTTATTGTCCATTAGGTTAAGTCGTCAAACTTTAATCAGAATTATTTCCTTCCTGTGCTGAGTTGCTCAAATACAATAAACCTGACCAGTTTGACAACTATCTGTGTATCGTTTTGGGATGGGGGTGAAATTGGACTGCAGTGGCCAACTGACATGTAACTGAAAACACTTTCTGATACTGCTGTGTGCCTGTTACTTTTCACATAAGGGATGGAAATTGCTGAATCAGTGTGATTCTTTAAGCGAGACAAAATTCTGTTTTTATAAGGTGTTGCATTTAATTGCATTCACGCCCTTTAAAGTAGTCTGACCTTGTTTGTGTGCAAGTTTTAAAATGCTAGCTTAATCACATTTTTATTCAGCTGGAATTTATATTATGGGCAATAATCAGTTGTGACAGGTTGTTGCCTTTTAGGTGTGTATATTAATTAGTCTGTATTGTATTAATTAGGAAATACACGGCTCCTTTGAGGGCAGGTTACATGAAAACCCCCTATCCACACTGCAACAGTGTGTTTTCTCATAGAATCAGTCACTGATTCAGATTTTATTTATAACAGATTTATTATAATAATAGTTTTATTTTTTACTTAGCAGGCACTTTTGTCCAAAGTGATGAACAAGTGAGGTAAATATCACATTACAGACATAAAGTTGACTTTGCATAAGTGCAGCTCAGCTTCCAATGAATGCCCAGGTACATAAGTAGCACAAGTAGGCAACACACCATTGTCCAAAAAACAAGAAGCTAATAAGACAACTTCAATGTGGAACTGATAGTAGAATCTGATGACCTGATGTGGTGTAGAAATTTATTTCCCCATCGCTGTACCAACACATGAGAAGTATCTGTAGTGAGGCTCCTGTGTGTTGGAGGGATCTCTGACTGAAGAGGGTCAGAAGGGACGTAGGTCTTGTGGATCCTCGATGCAGATGGGTAACTGTCCATTAATGGGTCTGGTAGCCAGCATGAAGGAATTAAGATTGATGCGAGTGCCTATAGGGAGGATATGAGGAGTGACAAGGAGGAGTGTAGCATGAAAGCATTTGGGCTGATTAAATACCAGACATGCTGCGATTTTGAATCCTTTGTATCAGTTTCAGAGCACAGGCAGGTAAAGCTGGTAATATAGCATTGCAGTAGCCTAGTCATGAGAACTAGAAAATGACAAAGATGCCCTGATCTTTCTGATGTTATATACTGTGACCCTGAATGACTGGGAAAGTGCTGATATGAGCATAGCAAAAGATAGGTGGTCATTTATCATTACAGCCAGGCGGGCACATGGGGGGAGGGGGGTCTGCCTGAGCACCTGACCTATTTGCTAGAGTTATTTCAAGTGCCGCCTTTGTAAACTGTACAGCACCTGCTCCTCAAATAGTCTCTGCATAGCGCTGTCCCTGGTCCTGGCTGATGGTCCTGGTGTATCCATCCATCCATTATCCTCCGCTTATATGAGGTCAAGTCGCGGGGGCAACAGTCTCAGCAGGGAAACCCAGACTTCCCTCTCCCCAGCCACTTCCTCCAGCTCCTCTGGGGGAATCCCGAGGCGTTCCCAGGCCAGCCGAGAGACATAGTCCCTCCAGCGTGTCCTGGGTCTTTCCCGGTGCCTCCTCTCAGTGGGACATGCCCGGAACACCTCACCAGGGAGGCGTCCAGGAGGCATCCTGACCAGATGCCCGAGCCACCTCATCTGGCTCCTCTCGATGTGGAGGAGCAGCGTCTCTACTCTGAGTCCCTCCCGAATGACCGAGCTCCTCACCCTAGGTCCTGGGGTATTTCATACATTATTTGGCTTATGTTTGTCTTTTTAACATATTATATAATTTCACTATTATGAAATACAGATACAGGCATGATAAGATTGAAAAGCACAGTTGCATTGGAGGTCAACGCTGTTCACTTGCCTAATTTATGCATAGGCAAGTTTACATGGAGTTAGTGTGTGTTTTCTACTGCAAAAGAAAAACACTATTTTTGTCTTCCGCCTAAATCCATAGACAAATTGTGTATCATTTTGTGAGGGCTGGGCTTTCATTTATCCACCACCAACTGCAGATAGGAGGATTACGGAGCACCAAGAGATTCTGAAAAACACACAGAATGGGCAGCTGCATGATAATCTGTTCAATAAAAAAGCACAAAGTAGCTATAGGCCCTTATGTGCAATAAAAACTTTATCTATATTTTTCTATTAGCTGTATGGAAAGCAATACTAGCAAGAGATAGAACTAAAATAAATGTATCCAAACAATGTGTAAAGTAAAACAATATGTCCTGCCCCGATTGTCCGCTCCTTCCGTGTGCCACGCCCCCTCGTTAACCTCGTGTGGAATCCCCGTGTGATCAGCTGTTTCTAGTTGTCGTCAGTCCTCTGTATTTCGTCCGCGTTTCAGTTTGTTTCCCCAGTCCGGTCATTGTATTGTCCGTCTGCGTTTTGCCTGCCTTACCTGTAATTAAACCCGGTATTCCACGATACCCTGACGTCTGCGCCTTTGTCTCCGTTCCGTTGCCGCTGGGCACGACAATATTATTATAATTAAATGTATTAATAATTATTAATATTCAAATAATGAATAAGAAATCTTTATTTTAAAATGTATTTTATTATATAATAATAATTACTGTTACTGTCTATCATTGTCTAAATGTATTTTTACTGTATAAATATATGTATTCAGCTAGTGTAAACATGCACGATGCTATCACAGGGAACGCGAGGCTGACCCCTGGATGCGTGTCTGCTGCGGTGCGTTTCCGACATGGCAGCCGCAGGTAATCGCCGCCAATAAAGTCAATGCATCAGTTTACACCAGATCCGCTGCGTTGCGTCTCCGCTACGTCTCTGTTCCGTCACATGTCCGGCAGTCCGTCGAGATGCGCATCAAGTCTATTTTTGACAGATACGGATCAAGAACGTAATACAGAGCGCATGCGCCAACTCCCCTTCACATCATGGACGACGAAAAGTTCATTTTGGAGGTGGAGAAACACGGAATTGTGTACGACCCCAGACATCCTTTTTACAAGGATAATAGTAGAAAGGAAAAGGCGTGGAGTGAAATTGCAGAAGTTTTGGGATTTGACGGTAAGTTGAATCTTCCAATTAACTATGTAAATACTTGATTTTTAATGAAAGTAACCTGTACTGTGAAGTATTTGTAAACTCCTAATAAAGTGTTCAGTAACCTACATGGGAGTGACACATTATTTTATCCATAGAAACATAGATAAAAGTTACATAGATAAATGTTATGTTAAATGGTTATTCTCCCGTGATCATGTGATCTCGCAAACCAGCGGCGCGCCGGATCAGATACGGACCACAAACGCGTCCAGTGTGAATTTCCGGACTGCCTCGGACGGAATGCGAATGCAGCGCAGTCGTACTGCAGCGGATTCGTATCCAGTGTAAATCAGGGGTGAGACTGAAACATTACCCTTTGTTTCCGCTGAGAGACGTGCTGCGTGACTCATTTGCCCGCGCGTACAAGTTCACTTAGGTCGGCGTTCATGGTTTGACTTCTGAGATTCAGATCGAGTTCTACGTAATTTTTCGAACTGGTTGGTTCGACTTTTAAGAAATTCGAGTTCTAATGAGTTTGAGAACTGAGGTACCACTGTATATGATTTTTAAATTGATGTATAAAGAGCTCAGTGAAGGATGACTGAGCTCTTTGCTTACTTATAACAACAAACTGATTTATCTGTCCCTACAACTGTATGGGTAATTCTTCCCAAGGACTTGTGGCAAGGGGAAAACATTTCTTTTGTTCCATGTGTTTAAAGTAGGAAAAATACATAATTTAACCACATATAGCAGTTATCGTCTAATACAGAGTGAGTTCTATGCAAATCAATGAAAGAATGTAATTCAAAATAGTTTCAGAGTGATCAGGTGCATGTGTGCAATGTTAAAACTGAAATCCCATCTTCTAATTGTACCAGGACAAACAGTTTAAAAGCTTTCTGACGCTCTTCTTATCCTCATTCACATTCAGCCAGAAATCTAGCCCCACTCATTAAGGATTGGGCTGTTTGTTAGTGAATATGGATGCATTTGTGTGTAAGAGATATATGTCGTGCAAGTAAGCAAGGCCTATTGATTATTTTAATCACTTTCTTTGTGAGCCTGTGTTGCTTGTGACTGTGCCTTTGACAAGGGAACAGTGTTGCTATATATATATTAGTATAACCCTATTGTGGGTTGTATAGCCTACTCGGGGGAACATCAAATCAATATTTTGTCGCGATGTCTCTGCGGCATTGTGCTAGTGAGTGAATAGCCTCCAAGAGAAGCTTTGCCGATGGATTTCAAGCATTGCGGAGACATCGTGCCGATGCATGTGTGCTTCCTGGGGTCATGCACATTTCAAATACTGTGTTTACCTTGCCCCAAAGGGATCATGCTAACTGTAATGCAGTACAGCCTATTTGTTAACACTATTTGAATGACAATATAATCCGTTCACGTCTTTGCTCCTTTTTGCACAGGCACAAACACAGAATGTGATAAATTTTCATGTCTAGTTAGCAATATCACTCATTTTGTAATAAACCAGTATTATTCTCTCGGTAATTCAATTCCACACAGCCTGTTTTCCAAAGATATTTATTATAAGTTTCAAGTTTTTATTGTCACGTATCACGAGGAACACTGAAATTCTTGTGCCACAGTTGCAGGGGAGGGGAAAGGTGCACGGGGGGACAGCAGGACAAAAAAGCAGTATAATACAGGACAAAATGCAGTGTAATACAGGACAAAATGCAGTGTAATACAGGACAAAATGCAGTGTAATACAGGACAAAATGCAGTGCAATAAGAGATGAGACTAAGATAGTGCCTGCACACAGTGCAATATGGGGAGTGAAACAATAAATATGCAGTGAATTAGTGGTGCATTGGAGAAAGATGTGCAAATGGCCACTGAGGTAAGACAGTACTAATAAAGTGTGGAAGTGGAATATTAACAACAGTGTGAATTACAATACAATACAATACAGCAGGGACAGGTGCAGGTCACTTGTCATTTAGGGACCTGACAGCTTGGGGAATGAAGCTGTCCCTGAAACAGGTGGTGAGGGTGGTGATACACTGGTAATTCTTTCACCAGGGCAGGGGTGTGATGAGGGCGTGACCTGGGTGGCTTGTGTCCCTGACGACAGACTCTGCCCTCATCTGGCAGCGGGAGGTTGAGAAGATCACGGCTACTGGCTGTTCTTTGCAGCAGTTTGAGGTCCTGCGTAACTGTTACCCATCAACACTGCGACGCATTCAGTTAGGATGCGCTCACTGGTGCAGCAACAGGGGTTCATAAGGATTTTGGTTCCCAACCCAAAGCACTTTAGCCTCCGCGGGAAGAACAGCATCTGCTGAGCCTTCTTGAGGATGCAGCTGCCGGTTAGAGACTATGAGGAGGAAGCAGTGATCTGGCTGCCCAGGAACGCGAAGCTGCCGACTGTCTTGGTGGGAGATCCATCCATGTGCAGTGGAGCTTGGAGGTTAGTCATGAGGAGAGTGGGTATGGGAGTGCTGGATGAATGCTGTTACAGCATAGCTAGCACGCCACTTTGCCACCCCCTCTTCCTCCAGGTCTGACGATGGGTGTTGTTGCTTGCTCCGACTGTAGCATTTCGAACAATTTCTTCAGGTAGATCGGGAATGTAAAGGATCACTGGAACACTGCACCTAATGTTCAGCACAGTGTAATGGTACTAGACAATACAACAGTAAATTACATCTGTTAAGATGCTAAAAATCAACAAAACACACAAAATAATGAGAGAGATTCGTAGCACGACGCCTTTGGACGGCAGCATCTTGGATCTTATACAAAATATAGAAAGTTTTAGCTTGTAATTTTAGTCACATAAATGTTTAACATGTGGTTGCTAACCCATTTACTATAGGTAAAGCTAAACTGCCCTGTATTCAGCAATAAACCTTTAGAAGTGGAATTATGGAAAGGGTGTAACACATTGATCGATATTATGAGTGTAAATCTCTCCCTAGAATGTCAAAATTCACGGTGAATGACCGAACTAACAAAATACACAGGATTCTTCATGGATACTTTGAGTATATATCGTTAATCCTGTACTGGATGACATGTTTTGTAGTTTGCTTTTAACCCTTAGCGAGACCGTAGCAGCAGGTTGTTATAAGTAAGCAAATATTCACAAATGATTGAATGCTGATTTAGGATAAAGCAGAGGAAGGCAGTTAAGTATTTTATTTCTTTCCTTTTTCATCAATTACACAGCTCACTTTGCATAGCACAGAGACAACAATCTGTACTTTTATCAGAAAACATAACTTTAAATAGATATTAAATGCTATCAGTGCAGACAAACACTTGTGGTTGAAACTGAGGAATATATTACAGTGGCCCATTAGCGACAGTGTGCTACAAATTCTTAAAATACTTTAATCAAATGACAACACATGATCTACATTAGCTAATATGTTGCTAATAAATAGTTAAAAAGGTGATACTCAAGCTCATCCTCAAAACATAAGGGAAGTGAGCCACAACACAACGGATGAACAACTTGATTTGATTTTAGCCGTGAAATCTGGGATTCTGTGCAATGTTACAACCAAAGCTCTCACGTTGCTTACAAACAGGAAGGAATTCTATTGGTGTCAATTCAAAATCTTTAATAGGGCCCTAATTTTAACACTCAATAAGAGTATGTTGATATAAACAGTATTGTTCTCGTTTTGAAAATATATTGTCATACTGCAAACATTGAATATACTGCCCATCCCAAATGGTCTGTCTCGTTTCATTGTCGTGTCATGTTGTGGCTTCACTTCCATTGTGTTGTGACTGGATTTGCAGAGTTTTTTGTTTTGTGTGTGTTTTGAGGATTTGCATCACGTCTGTCAAAGTATCTCCTCTCATCTCCAAGTATCATAACTATGCCTATATAGTAAAATATTTCATTGAGTTTAATTGTTGGATGAAATGCATTTGTTGGTACAATCAATAAATTAATTCTTTTTCTTGGGCAGTGTCATTAGACATATTGGAAATCCATCCCAGGTTGCAAGGTGGCTGGAATGATACTTATCTTCAATCTGAATTCCTATGGCCCCAGTTTTCCTGCCATATTTACAATTCCACATTGGCAGCCAAAGAAGTCACTTCATCCATCCATCCATCCATCCATCCATATCCAGAAATTAAGCTCAGTATTCCTGCCTCAGTGTAGCTTCAGTGAACTTAAATTTAAGTTTGAAATTGCACTCAAAAAATTAGACCTCATCATGCATAATTTCTAAATCATATGACATGAGTCTGAGGTGATTTTATATGATATATATATATATATATATAAAGCAGATATATCAGCTTATATATATTAGCTTATGTATGTGCAGGTATGTCTACGATTATATTTACAGATGTTTGCACACTCAAATTATGAGGGTCATGTCCTGACTGTAATATTCCGGGTTATCTGGCTAACAAGCCATTTCGGGTTTCTTAGACATGGTTCTATAAGCCTTGACTGTGCATTAATGTGAGATGGGTGTGTTGTATGTGCAGTGTGTTGCTTGCAGATCTGAGCATCCAGCAGTCTCTGTGTAGCTCATTTTGGTAAAGGGGACGGGCTCAGTCAGGGTAAATGAGGAATCCAGAGAAGGTGCTGTATTTGTTGGTATTTCCCCCGTGGACCTTGCCCCCGTCCAGCTGCACACACACTTCGTCGCCCACGTCCAGGTGCAGGATTACACTGTTGGAGGCGTAGTCATAGTTCTGATCTGCATCCTGAGCGATGGCGCTGGCCCTCACCTGAGAGCATGAAATTAACAGAAGACAATTAGGTGTCATGATTCTTTTTAATTCTTAGCTATTTGTAATAATTATAATAAGTTAATGGTTCCTAGATGAAGAAAATTCATTTATTATGTTCAGATGTTGTTAATTTGGTTGGGGGACACCTTACTGTAACCTCTACTGTTCTGAAAGTATAGGCGGAAGACTGTTCATCTCAGTTCAATATTTCTGTCTTTCTCAGGGAAAATCAGTGATTCAATGATATTGCTGCAGTTAACTATATTGCAAATTTAAAGTTGTTTAAATGCTGATTACATGGATGATGTAAAGGGAGAAAAATGATTGTTTCTGACATTATACATTGAGAATTGACACAAGGCCCTTCACTGTGGGTTCCAAACCGAGAATCTCCACACTATTGCTTCATTATAGGAAAACGTCTGTAACTCTAAGTAACTTCTGCGTGATTCAAAACAATGTGATTTGCATAATATTGAGTGGTTGTGAAGCGAGACAGACAGCAATTACATTTATATGCAGAATGTGAGTCGCTCAATATTGACCCAGAGACCCCTCTGCTGGAGCCAAGTGACACCACTGAGAACCAAAATGGTCTTTGACTGCTAGGGCCATTCTCTCAGGTCATAGTTGTCTAGTTCATTATTATACCCTCCCTCACTCGAAAGCCCAACAACAAAGTGCTTTTTATAACCACAATGATTTACAACAACAATTCTTGACAGTAAACCCTTTACTAGCACACCCGACCACAATCACACACTAGTTCTAAAACCAAGGTGGAAAAAATAGAGTAGATATTTATCAGGTACTGGTGATATGGTGCTTGCTAATCATTAGCCCTACCCCATTACATTGCCTTTTTGCTTTTTCATCCATTCTTTTTCATAGGTGCATGGTGCTCCCTGTTTTGGGTGAATTTTATGGCTATTCAGATATACCTGCAAAAACTGGCCTTCCTTGCTATTTAGTCTGGGTCTGCCTGCCAATAGGCCCTTCCCACTAGCATTATCCATATAGCCATCGTCCTTAAAATGAGAGGCTGGTCACGGAGTCTGCTTTTGACATGTAGCGTGTCGGCAGGCCAAGCATGTTCCTGTCGGGCCGAAGCAGCCTGATTAACAGCGCGAGGCAGTTGCTCTCCTGGGATCAGGCTTTGCAGTCTTCAGAAGTCACTGGCTGCTGTAATTACTAACTACACAGTGATACATGTAAGTTAATGCTTTCCTTTTCTGTAGCAACTGCGATTAATAAAGGGCACAGAATTCTGTGGTTAAATAAAATGACACAGTATTTGTAGTGTATCCATTTCAGATTAAATTCAACAAGAAATCAGAAGGCATGATAAATACAAATGCTTGCAAAACAACCACAATTGCATAAAATACACATGCATTTTAAATACACATGAAAACAAAACACGGTGAGAAAATTAACAATTGAATTGGCTGTAACAAGGTAGTTATAAAGTGACAATTACAAAATATCAGCTAACTAACAAAAGGAGAGGTCTGTGTGTGGTCTGTGTGTGGTCTGTGCTGACATTACATTGGAAACGGATGCTGCATTAATTTAACCTCCTTTGCTTCTAGTGCACACATTTCCCCCATTTTATGTGAAAGTAAAGATTATGTGAAACAGACCTTGTTCTCTCAGAGATATGGATACGACAGGCTTTATGTCAACCACTATGTTGATTAATATCGAAATGGGAGTGTAGTTCTGCCTGCTGTGCCACCCTGAGCTGACTTGATCTCCATTTGGGCCCTGAGCAAGGGGCCAGGGCATTTCATTATGGGAAGGATGACCTTCCATTTTATATGGAGCCAGCAATATAAGAAGAGCAACAGACCAGGAAGGGAGGGAGGTAAATAGCATGAATGCCAGTTGGATGCTGGGATGCGGATATCAAGAGGTGAAGATGGCTGGTACTGGTTTGATATAATTGAGGAATTAATAGAATTGGGGGTAGTGTGGTCACTGGTTCAAATCCCTCAACTGGCAGTTTGATTTTGCCATTAGGCCCTTGAGCAAGGTCCTTAACCCCAGTCGCTCCACGGACCGGCTGACCCTCTTAGTAACTCCGGATAAAAGCATCTGCTACATTAACTGTTAATGATCCTGTATGAAGTCTTGTTTTTTACAGTTTATTGACTGGTAATAAAACAGACAGAATTCATTGCCAGTGATCCAGAGAGACCTGGGAATGGAAACAAGGTAAAAGTAGCTCCTAAACTTACCTACGGGGCTTTGACTGTAGCAGGTGTGGCACAAGGGGGCTGAAGGGGCTTTGGAAATTGAACCTATTGGACATGGAGACTTTTGGAAATGGACTTCCTGTCTCCAGAGGACTAAACAGCGACATGGGACAAGTGTGACTGCAGTTTGGAAATATACTGTCCTGACACTCCAAAATGACAGTGAGGAGGTTTCACTGAAATGCAGTAATACGCCTGGAATACCAAGAGAATACCAAGTGTTTATAAAGGGATTGAGTCAATTTATCCAGTAATGTGACAGATCACCACTAAAGGGATTTTTTTTTCCTTTGTAAAAGAGATGTTAAGTTTTTAGAGACAGTCCTTTATACTTAATGTATATAGTCAAAGATACAAATATTTGGATCAATAGTTTTAAAATAAATTTAACTGATAATTTTATATATTAATAATCACCTTATGTATTACAATTCCCAAAACCAGAGTAACTAGAGAAAATGAATATAAATGAACAAAACACAGATTTCAGGGAACTGGAAAATTGTGTTGCTCAGTTTTGTTAATTTTTTAATGGTAGTCCTATTGTGTGGTTATTTAAACATATTCGCAATGTTGATTGAAATTAGTGCACATTAATATAAAACTGATATTAGGCTGCTGGAATGACCTGTGTGGTTACATGAAAATAATCAACACCCATATGACATCTCTGAACCAATAAGAAAACAGAATTTGCCAAAGCCACGGTATAATTGGAAGTCCATAGGCATCCTTGGACAGGGGTGGGCAATGTTGCCTATAAAGGGCCGCTGTGTATGTAGCTTTTTGCTGCAACTCCCTAATTAGAGGACTGATTGGCTGAAGAGTCCTCACACCTGGGTTTGAGCAGCTGACCTAAAGATTATCCCAAAAACCTGCATACACACCGGCCCTTTACGGATAAGACTGCCCACCCCTGCCCTAGGATTATAAGCAATTTTTCTGGCCAGTCCACTATTTATTTTAAACTATAGCCCCTTTTTAAACACTTGTTGAAAGTTGGTCTCCGTTGTTTTAATTGACAGAGCATTTACTTACAGAAATGTGTTAATAAAGGTAGGAGCCAGGGCTCATTCCCCATAAAGGCTAATTATACTTCTGTGGAAGTCTGTCTGCATCTAATTCCAGGCAGATATTTTTTCCACACAGACACTGGTCTTTATGAAACACGTTCTGACATTTTTACTGCTGCAGGGTGAAAGAATTTGACCTTTAAGAGATCTATTAAAGGAGTGTGTGACATGCAAAGAAGAAAACTAACGAGAAAGACTGAAGGTATGGGCAGAAGAAGGGTATGTTAGTCTGGATTAAGGACTTTGGAAATTACCAGTGAAATATGTAAGACTGTGACCAACAAGGAGTCCAGGGAATGGGGGTTAACAACACAAACAAATTGATTTACTGTGGCAAATAAATTAACAAGGGACCGAGGAATTTCACATAAGAAGCTCGCATAGAGTATTAGACTTTATGTGTGCAGCTGAACAACATCCTTCTCTCGCAAAATATATTCAAAGGCTTGGTTCTACCACACTTAAGTCATATAAAATGCAACTTCTTATTTGCACAACCTCCAGTCTGTGCCTGACTGACATGTTAAGTAGAAGATTGTAGCCAAAAGGCTTACTTACCTACCACGGTATTTTACAGGACTGTAAACAGAGAAGCATGAACGTGCTTAAATCACAAAAATGTTACATTGCTAGGGTTTGACGCTATATGTCTGCATGTTACGGGTGTATTTTCTGTTTGATGGTACCTTAAAATCTACACTAACACCTTAACTATAACTCTGAGTAGTTGTTGCTTTTCATTCTGAGAGACTCTCTTTTACTCCAGACCTAATGAATGCTAACCGAATCAATTCCTTCAAATATGACAAGCCAGTCTTTTAAATAAATTAGGCCTCTGCAGCTCATTAATTAGACCATAATTATGGATACATACTATATCAGTTATTGCAGAAGAAAAATGTTACAAGATCCAGCATATTTTAACCAGTTGTTGTTACACCATTCAGTTGTTATTTATCTTGACCACTTTTATTATACAACACAATACATACAGTTTGCCTATATACATACTATAGCTTTTCTTTCCACTACTGCTTTAGACAGTAGAAGCCTCAGATTATAATATGATAGGTGCCGGTACATAATAGTGTCATTTTTTACTTTTTATGTCTGTTACTTTTCAGGATCTAGGATGGTTTATTATACACAAGGAAGTAATGGTCTGTCCCTGTCCAGCAAGGTCTCACCGGCACTCCATTCATCCTCAGATTCAGTGCAACTCGCAGAGCCTTTGTGTCTACTGCGGATGCCGTTTCCCTAATGAAAGGAATTTGTATTTCAAATGCTGGTGAACTGAAGGTTCATTCTTAGTTATGTAATGCTTGTATCAGATAAGGGGGAGAATTATTTAATAATTTTTATAATTTTTAAATAATAAAAAATAATAATAATGTCGTGCTAAATTCAAGGTACAGATTACTAGAGGCAGTAACAGTAAAGAGACAAGTTCAGGACCAGTACTGTAGAGGCAAGAGTGAAGCTGAGGCAGCTGTAGAGGCAAGAGTGAAGCTGAGGCAGCAGGAGAAATGGGTTTGATTAACAGCTATACATCAGAAATGTAACACAGAGCTTTTGAAGTTTTCCCAGAAACTGGATGGATGTCCCTCAGAAGTGGTTCTACATTTCTATAGGTTTTATAAGTATGGTCTACAAAAATTGATGAAGA